ACACACACACACACACACACACACACACACACACACACACACACACATATACACACACATACACTCAGAAACACACACACACACAGACAACTCCGTGACAATATACGTTTCGTGCAGCTGTTGAACAGATCGAAATTCGACTTTCTACTTCTTCCCTTCGCTGTAGTACTTGTGGCTTTCCACACCGTGCTTCCCACTTCATGCATTTCGAAAATCACCAGAGCTAAAACTAGTTAGTACACCGGCGACGGCATCCTCGACACTGCGTTCAGTGGTACTTCCAGTACTTGCTGTACAATTAATAGTGTAGGAAGGGGTGTCCTGCTGGTGCTGCTCGCCATCCATTGTGTCTATCACTGCATTTGAAAGAAAGCAAAAAACTGCTTGCAGCGAAGCTTTTCTTTTGCAATTCCAGTCGGCCCGATGAAGAAAATTTGTCTCCAGATCACCACCGTGGGCGATCAAACCGGAAAAACGAGTATTGTAATGAAGAGCATCATGGAGGGAGATGTGCGTCAATGAAAACGCCGACAACGACGATGAGATACGAAATTGGATAAAACATACTTTGCAAATCTTTCGCTGCTTCGAAAAACTCCTTCTTCCTTACACTGCGAAAAAAAAAAAAAAAAATCGTTGCCAAGATGAAATACCTCCGGAAATACCAGAAAACTGTGGTAGAGAGGAAACGATCGGCCGGTGATCTCCGATTATGTCAGTGCGTAGTAACTGATGGCATTTGTCGGACATGAAGTCAAGGGCAGAACGGTCTAGCGTTCAACATGGGAACTCACGCAGATCGTTCCTGCGACGCTGGTGGATCAAAAAAGAGTTGTTCGCATCTGCACTATACCAGCGATATTTCAAGAATACCAAGACCGCCGAGACTATCAACATGGCTCCTCAAGTTAAGTGATCTCTTGATATGATCCCACACTTCGAGCACAGCTACGACAGCAGGCCCTTCATCCTAGGGAGCTGTATAATTCCAGTCGATAATCACAGGCCTGTTCCAACGTAAATGACATCCCTCTCCGGGTCTAACTAAGCAGTCTTTTTTTTTTCGTAAGTGCCAATTTCACTAACATGCGCTTTCCACCTGCTGTCAACATGCCCTGCGCATCGGATTTTACTTTTTCGCGTGGTATGCTTCTCACCTGACGGAGAGCCTGATTGTGTGTATGGCAATGGTGGAGTACGCCAAGCGTCCTTAGTTCCATTGCTTTCACCGTCACAGCCAGCATTCACTCCTCGATGATTATATTATTTTCGAATTAAATTAATAATAAAGTGTAATTTTTAGAAGGCCATTTGCACAAGGAACTACGTCAAAAGTTGCACAATGCTGGCTATGCAGTGAATTCGAACTGTTCCAAGTAATTTCGTTCAAAGACGTAGTAAGTTTGATGAAACGAAACGAACATCACAATCGCTAATGGACTAACCACCACCACCACCACTAAATACTGCAGTATTGGTCAAAATTGTCATATTACGAATTTACAGCTCGCCCAGGTATTTTGGAAAAAATTTTTTTGATGCGCACACAGCTAATGTGCGCGAAATTTTACCGAACAATCTCCTCACAAATAAATGTTTTTCACCAAACAATCATCTCAACTCATTTTTCAGCCAAAAAAAAAAAATCTTTAAATGCGATGATGATGGTGATGGCCGCACAACAACCGAAACTAACACCAGTCTTCTAGAAATGATGAACAACCGTCCGGAAAAAAAAATAATTTTGCCAATGCGCAGCTATCAGTAACGCCACAACCAAAGATCAAAACTGATTACAGACACTCTCTAAGGTGGGCAAGAATCTCGCTTTTTATGTGGAGCAATTATTACAGCAAAAATAATATCAGAAAAATTTTTTACTGTAATATGATGCGTTAACGCAACAAACCGGCTGTGAAAATATACGCAGTGTCTCGAAGTACATAAAAATCATGACTGGGGAACAACAAGCATCACATGAGGGAGTGGAAGGAAAGGCCAAGAAAACAAGAGATAGTGGGGAGCATATGTTGTGAAAAAATGTTCAGGAGATGTAATAAGGACCTGTGTGAAGGCTGAACCTCGTGAGGGGAAGCACAAATGCAGGTGTGTCACAGAAAAATGATATATGCATGAGTTGCAGTTCAATCTGAATGTTCCTGGCGTTAAAAAGACATCGGATATACACCTTCCTTATTTTGGCATCCTAGATTAACCTGGATGCTACAATCGGCTTACACAAAACCTCGCAAAACTCGGTTTGTATCTTCTCTTAACCCATGTGCAGCCATTTAAATAAAACCTACATATCACTGATAATCACAGTTGTATTCAGCAATATCCCAGTTGCCAGCAATTACCTGGAATGTGCAAAATTAAAAACACGAACAAACAGAGCCACAATTCAAAGATTACCCAACAAGAGAGAATCATTTTAATGAAATTCAAGAGAGGACAACCTCTGGTTTTCCTAGCTTCACGCCATCTTTATCGATCGTCGAGATCTCGAATTCGCTGTCAGCCAAACAATCGTGATAAATTGACAGCTCCAAGCTCTTGCGCATGATTTCCACGGCCTAGAACAGCAGTCAGTTGAAATTTTCCCTAAAGTTTTACATTCTACAACTCACAGAAATCTCCCTATTACAAATTCACAATCATTAATTCTGCTGTATCGGTACCACAATTTCGTCAAACCAAAAAAAAGAGGCTTATTAGAGGTACCTGTTCTTTGGTGAGTTTGCCATCTCCTTTGCGCTGTTCTGTTTCGATGACTTGATTCAACAGCATGGCACCGAAACCGGTCGCAACACTTTTTGCTTGATATGCTACACCCCTAAAA